TTTCTACCCTTGGTTCATCCAAAGAACCTTTCTAAGCCAGACTAAAAAGCTCTGCATGATCTGTCCACTACCTATCCACCACTGTACCAGCTTCACAGCGCCCACTATCCTTCCCTCCACCTAAGCTTCAGACACAATGCCCTTTTTTTTTTTTTCCAGTTCCTTCCTACCACAGGGCCTTTTCACACAGGCTCTCCACTGACTGAACCACCCTACCCTCCCCATTTTCTCTTCTTACCCAACCGCTATTCATCCTCGGGGGTTTCAGCTTAAACTCCAATACCTCTAACCTAATTCTCCAGATTAGGTTAGAGATTACCTACTATACAATGCTCATAGTGTTTTATAACTATGAGCATTTGTTCCCCGCCATCGCATTCTACAACCAACTGAAGGGTCCGATACTCGGCCTTCAGTAAATATTCACTTGCTGAGTACATCCATTTGCTCAAGTAGAAAAAATCCCCAAAACAGGTACTGCCGGAGGAAAAAGCAGCTAAACATCATAGATCGAGTGAGTGGCGAGGACTGGAATGGAACCTACTCGTGTGTGACTACCAATAGTCTAGGAAGAGAGAAATGAGGCCCATATTCTCCCTACTTTCTACTCGTGGCTGATAAAGGAAAAAATGCGTAAATTTCGTGCAGACTGATATCCGGATTCACTTTCTGTCCTCAGCTCTCCTTCCCTCTCTCTACCTCCCCGTCCCTCTACCTCCCCTAGAAGCTGCAGTTCACCGTGAACCTGGCGTAGATTTGCTACCCCAACCTTCCAACAGGGCCGCGGGCATGCAGCACTCTGACTCACCTGAGCCCCGCCCACCGTCCCATGCAGCCGCAATAAGCGCATGAGCCCGGGCAAATGAGGGGCCGAGCGGACTGGGGGATGCACGGGAGGAACGGTGGATCCCGTTCGCGGCTGCAGCAACCCGGACACGCTCTCTAGCAGCAGCATTCGGAGACGCGGGCCTGAGCCCACCGCCGAAAGACCCCCGGTCCCGCCAGAAGCCCCAGCCGCGGAGCCCGCAGAGGGCCCACTAAGAACGGCGGCAGCCATCTTCGCCGGGATCTAGTGGTGGCGTGGCGCGATGACGCAAACACACCGCGACGAACGGCTATTGCAGATCAAACAGTGAGAAGGGGGTTGTGGTCTTGTACAACCGGTGCGCGAAGACCGGTCCCTGAGCTCTGGCTAGGAGGGAGCATGCGCTGAATGGAGGGCCGGGAAGCCGGACCGCGAGGGTTTAGTTCCCCGGCAGGGATTGGCTGGTGGGTGGGGCGGCCCGGGGATGGCCCGGGGGGCGGCCCGGGGCGCGGCCTGGTGTCAGTTAAAGAACACGTGGTCGGGACGGGAGGCGCCAGGGTCCGAAAGGTATCTGTTAAAAAAACATTCTCCAACATTCGCTCTAAGGAGTACTGATCCTAAGGAACCGGCCCATAATTTGATGTCAGAGACACTTTAAACTACATTTACAACTGCAGAAATGACACAACACACTCCTTGCAAATTTAAAAAGATAAATCTAGTATTTGGACAATGTATAAGGCATAGAACACTATTCTATATGGTTGACGGAGTAAGTTGCAGCACTTTTTCTAGACAGCACTTTTACTTATTTTTTTCATCTGAGGTGATACTGGTTAAAAGAATTTATACAGGTTGCAGGTGCACAATTCCACAACACATTGTACACTATATTGTGTGTTCACCCCAAGTCACTAGAGTCACCCCATTCTGTCAGTTCCCGTCAAAATTAAAAATAGGTATTCTTTTTCAACTGACACATTCATTTACTTACTCAACAAATATTTGCTGAGCACCTTTTAAGGTGCCAGGCACCATTCTAAGTGATGATAATAAAATAGTGAAGAAGCCGTGGTCGGGTGGTTCAGTTGGTTGGAGCGTGGTCCCAAGCACAAAAAGGAAAAGAAAAGTTTCAGGTTTGATTCTCAGTTGGGCCACATACCTAGGTTGCAGATTCAATCCCAGTTAGGGCGTGTACATCAGGCAACCAACTGATGTTTCTTCCTCTGTCTCTCTTCCACACCTCCTCTCTCTCTAAAATCAGTAGACATGTCCTCAGGTGAGGATTAAAAGAAAAGAAATACTGAAGAAGACAAGACCCCTCTAGAGAGAAGAGATAGTCAATAAATAAGAAAATAAATAAATCTTGGATAGAGCTATTTTAAAAAGTTATTTTAAAAACTAAACATGGTAATGTGTTAGAGGGTGACGTGGAATGGAGTGGGGACTTGAAAAGAAATCCCTCCCTGAAGATGGCAAGATGGTGTCGTTCATAAAGAATCAAAGGAAAGTTTCTCTAGGCAGAAGCAGCAGTATGTGCAAAGGCTCCAAGGTGGGAATGGGTTTGCTGGAGGATAGAAAGAGGGCTAGTTTGGCTCAAGGATAGAGAAAGAGGAAGAATGATTGATACATGTAGTATGTGTTAGAGTCAGGGAGGTGGGTATGGATCAAATCATGAGGATTCTAGAAGGCTGAGGCAAAAAGATGGGGTTTCATTCACATAATATTTGAAAGCCACTTAAAGGCTCTAAGCAGGGAGTGACAAGAACTGACTTATATTTGCAAAGATCACTCTGATTGCTATGTGGACAAGGAACTTAGAGGGGCAAAGGGGAAGCAAGAAGAGCAATAAAGAAGCCATTGTAAGAGGCTATCGTAACAGGCCAGGTAAGAGAGAATGATGACTGGGACCAGAGTAGCATTGGAGATGGAAAAATAGAGAAGAAATAACCCAAAGGGTTAATGTATTTTGAAGGCAGAATGCCAGGACTTGGAGAATTAGACAGAGGGTAGTATGGAAGGGAAAGAGATGACCCTTGGACTTTACTTTTATTAGATTCAAATTATTAGATTATCTTTGTGCATAAAAAAAGTCCCATCCTTATTTGATGTGACATTAAACTTGTAGACAATTTTCAGAAAAATGACATCTTTATAATGATGTTTTCTCACCTAGATTAGGGTATATCTTTTTCGTTCTTTCTGGCCTTTAATATTTTGCTTAAGTTGTCTTTCTATTAGTATCTTTTAATACAGTAGCCCTGGCTGGTGTAGTTCAGTGGATTTGAGCACGGGCTGCAAACCAAAGGGTTGTCAGTTTGATTCCTGGTCAGGGCACATGCCTGGATTGTGGGCCAGGTCTCCTGCAGGGGGCACACAAGGGGCAACCACACATTGATGTTTCTCTCCCTTTCTTCCTTCCCTTACCTTCTCTCTAAAAATGAATAAATATTTAAAAAATACGGTAGTTTTCATTCCATATAGAACACTTACCTTTCAGTTCTACAACCACTTTAAATATGTAATAATGAAGATCTCATTACCTTCTGGTCATGATGCTTTAACAAAAGTGATTCATAAGTCTAAAAGAAATGTTTAATTCTTGAGAGAGGTGAAGAGAGAACTTAGGAGGTTGAGATAGAACTAAAGTGCAGGGAGGTGGCAGCTGGTGGCTAGGCCTGTGTCTGAACGTTAAAGATGATCTCAGAAACTGTCTTGTGTGCATGTTAGTTTTGTTGCATACAAAAGTGGAGGGGGTAGTGTGAAGTTGGTTCATTTGGGGAAGATAGGGGGAGTATGGAAAGAGATGAAAGAAGAAATAATGTAGCTCCTTAAATCTGAAATGTCAGCCATCCATCATCCTCCCCAAGTCCAGTCAATTTTGCGCTAGAAATGATTCCTCAGCCTGTCACCTCATCTCCCTTCCACTCTAAGGGTCATTTCTCCCCCTTGACTAATTTTAGTCCACAACAGCCTGGCCACACTCCACCCTCCACATTGTCCAGAATTATCTTCATACAAATCTCATCATGCTACTCCTTGGCTTAAAAAACAACTGGATCCATGTGTCCTCCTCCAAGGAAAGGCCTCAGTCTTATTCCTTTACCTGCTATACAAAATCCTTCAGACTCTGTTTCAGTCTCCTCATCAGCCTTACCTACTGTCTTACCCCACAAACACTTAAGCATAGTATGTGCCTCACCTTTCTCTTTGGAATACCCTTTCTCACTTCTACCCACCATCCAGAAGTATTGTCCTCAAATGTTCCCTTCTCTGGACAACCTGCACTCCCTCCACCCCCACCCTAGCAAAATGCTTATAGTTGCTTTGTCTTTTGGGTCATACCTCCATTATAGTATTATATCATAAACCTATTTATATGTCTCCTCAAGTATACTAGGAAGGCAGGGCCCATGTTCATTCCTGCCTGCTAATTCATGCCCTAACAATATAAGTGGCTGGTACAAAATAAGTAGGCGTGGGTAGATGGATGAATGTTAGCTGGAATGAGTAGAGAAAAATTAGTAGTCACAGAAATCAGGCAAAGTATCTGCAAAGATTAAACACAGACACCAGGGGGAGCTGACACACCACAATACAGAAGCGAGGGCTGGTCACAAGAGACAAGTATTGGGGTGAGCGGGTGAGCTGTACGCACCAAAGCAACCATCCCTCAACTGGAACCGCTCACCCACGTGTGCATCCCCTCACCCTCCTTCACAGACAGAGCTAGAGCTCATTCTACATCCCCCACAGCCTCCACCACCCCCACCGTTTCCACCACCCCACTTCACCTATCGCCTCCAATGCAACGGTGCAAGCAAACAAAGGGGAGGGGACCTCTGAAAGGTTCTGGATGCAGAGGGCCAATCAGAGGGCTCTAATGTTCCGAAGGCGGGAGCCTTCGTTTAAGGGGGTCCAATCAGTTCCTAAGGGGGATGAGGGAGGGCGGAGAAATAGGCTAGACGTGCAAGGAGTTGGGGAGGGTCCGCGAGAGGAGTAGGACGCGGAGGGGGTGGGGCGGAGCCAATCACTGTGTGCGTGAGGGAAGAGCTTGTTGCACAGTGGAGCGCGCGCCATCTGGGCTGACGCATCTGGCCCCCGGTTCCCCAAGACCCGGGACGGGGGAGGTGGCGGGTGGAGATGGGGAGGCCTGAAGGGGAGGGGGAAGAGGAGAAAGAGCAGAGAGCGCGCGTGCGCAGTGGCGTGGGGAGGAGCAGGGACCTAGCTTTGGACTGGGAGGCTGAGAGCAAGCCTTGGACCGGGCGGGCTGCGGGCGCGTGCACTATGGGGGAGAAACCCGGGACCAGGTAAGGGATGTGGGGCCATGCGGTGGGATGTGGGCTGCGGCTCTGAGTGGGTGCCTGGACGGTTTCTAGACAAGGACACCGGGGAGAGAATTGGGAGCCGTACACCTGGGTCCCTGGGGGTCGGCCATCTGGGGTCACACGCCTAGGTCCTCGAGGATAATGAGGGGGACGCATGCCAGGGTCCCTGCAGAAAGGGAGTGCTGAAGGAAAACAGGGAACCAGCGTCTGGGTTCACTCAGGGATGTGGGGGCCGGACGACTGAGTTCTCCCGTGCAGGCTGCGATGCAGGGGCGGAGGAAGGAAGAGCAGGTGGCCGGTCCCGAGGGGTAAAGTATGGGCAGGCTGAGTACCGGAAAAGGGATCCCCCATAGACTGGTACTTAGCCACTAGAAAACCTCTTGTTTAATACCCCACAGGCAGTGGGACTGCCCCCACCTGTCCCACAGGCCAGGGAGCTCTGCTTCCAAACTTCTGCCTGCCTCAGGGTTGCTAGGAGCAACAGCCTCATCCTGAGGGAGCAGGGTGCTTGGCAGCCTTCCCTGAGTCTGGGCCTTACCCCTCTTCCCGCGTGTGAGGGGAGGAGGTATCTGCCCTGGGCACACCATCCGCTCCCCGGATGTTTTATGTGTAATCGAGGCTCCTTCCTTACACTGGCACCCCCAAGAGTTCTCTTTTTTGGTCTCTAGCACAATCCACTTCCTGTTGTGAGCCAACACTCTCAAGGGTGCTGTGGGTGAATGCCTGAGTCCCTTGGGAGCAGGAGCAAAAGAGGAAAAATTGGGGCTGTATGCCTCTATCCAGAGGGGATCAAGAATGGGAGCCTGGTCCTGAGTATCACTTGTTCTGCAAAACATTATCATATCAGACCCACCCTCCCCACCCATTGAGGAGGAGAACCCAGGCTTCTGTGCACCAAGTTGACCAGTATCGGAGAGATGATCACAGGAAGAATTAGTGTCCTGGATTTGAGGTTAAACAACCCAGAGAAAGGGGAAGTCGCTGACTTGAGGGAGGCCCCCGATTTCCGTTAAGTGGTTCAGAGAGGGGGAAGGATGGACCAAAGGAGGATTGCTGACTGGGCACAATTCCCCCTTACTCCTATCAAATTCTGGGCCACAGGAAATAAAGAGAATAGCAGGAAGTGTGAGGGGGCATCTGCTTCTGTGCCCCCCCACCACCACATTCTGACTCCTTGGCCAGCCTCGGTATACACATGCTGCTTCTCTCTAGCCTAGCCTAGCAGGATCCAGAGGGCAGGTGCCCTGCAGCTGCTCCAGGGCAATTACCATACAGCAATACTCCATTTGGCCCTCTTGATTGTGGATGCTGCAGCCCTCTACCAGGGCTCCTAATAGGAAGAAACACTGGGACAAAGAGGAAAACGAGAAGCAAAGGGGAGGGAGAGCTGAATGATGCCATAGGAATCAAAAGGACAGTAGGTAGGGTGCTTATTCTAGCTGCCATCATAGCAGTGTTTACTCTCCTTTATTGGATGGGGATACCTAAGGATCTCCATAGCCTTTGCCCAATGGCCTTCAGGTAGCTTGGCCTTCTGGGAAGAAGGGGAAGATGAAGTTATCGTAGAAACAGGTGGTAGCATTGGAAGAAGGTTGGGCCAGTTGGAAGGATTTCATATGCTTCTATCTGGGGACCCTTCCCAGAGATCACTGCTGAGGCAGAGTGGACTGGGAATGGATTGTAAGGTGATGCAGCAAAGAACAAGCCCACAAGTGGCCAGAGCATTGGAGTTGCCAGATACTTCTCAATTCTTCCAGCAGGGCGTGGAGTACAGACTTAGATTATTTCAGCAGTTAGGAAGTGAATCCCTTTCAATTCAACAAACTTAATCCCAATTACAGAAGCAGGGGAGTTTAATAATTTGGTGACTAAGGGCGTGGACTCAGAGCTGGACCACCTCTGTCTACCATTTATGCTGTGACCTTAGGCAACATACTTGACCTCTTCTGTGCCTCGGTTGCCTCACTTATAAAATAAGGATATTGGGATCTCCATTGCTGTGTTATTTTTTAAAGATTTTATTTACTTGCTTTTAGAGAGAGGGGAAGAAGAGAGGGAGAGAAACATCAATGTATGAGAGGTTGCCTCTCACATGCCCCCAATTGGGGACCTGACCCACAACCCAGGCGTGTGCCCTGACCAGAAATCAAACTGGTGCCTTTTTGATTCTCAGGCCGGCAGTCAATCCACTGAGCTTGTTATTAAGAGTATTAAATAGCACATGAAACACTTTACACAGTGCTGGGTGTACAGTACTCACCCAGGAAATGTTAGCATTATCATCATCATACGGCTGGCACTGTGCGGGAGTGCCCACATGAACAGCGCCACTGATGCTCATAGTCTATCTAGTCTGTCCAGCAGACGATACACAGCTAACTGCCCTTGTGTGGTATCACACCACAAATAAAACATAAACAAAGTGTGACAGGAAACAAACAAAAAAGGAGTAACCAGGGTCTGGGCTTGATCCACTTTTTAAAGGAGATGATATTGGAGCTGGGCCTTGAAAGACAGGCTTTTAAGCTTCTGAGATCATAGATGGGGAGAGTTGGAGGTTAATGGAGTAGGGTCACTATAGGCACTACAGTTAGATAATGCCTATAGTAGAAACCATTTTAGAAGCAAAGGCCAAGGTCATTACTGTTTTCAGGTACTCCAGCAGTCTTTGGAGCTGGAGACCAGAGAAGATGGAAAGCGGGTTAGGTCTTATACAGACAACACTGCAACTTGCCCATTCAGGTCCCCCTGGGGGAGGTCCTCTGGGGAGAGCCAGGGTGGTTCCTGTGGCAACGAGTGGCCATTGCCATGGTGGAGGGGAACTAGTAAGGGTGGAGGGGGTTGCCATGACAACCACCTTTGAGGGACTGCAAAGTTGGGAATATTAAGGACCTGTGATTACCTTTTTTTCTTGGGGAAAAAGCAGGGTGGGGTAGGCCTGGACCAAGCCCCAAAGCCTCCAGGCAGGAACCCTGGGTGAGCTCTGCTTCTCAGGCTGGGGAGGGACAAGGTCCTAGTGCCCCAGTACCTGCTGAGTCTGAGGGAGGCAGTGGGGTTTCCCTTTCTGTTTTGTTAGGGTCTTCAAGAAGTCGAGCCCTAACTGCAAGGTGAGTCTCCCACAGCGCTTCTCTTCCTGACCCCCCTGGGCCCTGATAGGGCCTAGCCTGCCCCTAGACGATCCCCAACCCCTAGCTGCCCACTTCCTGTGACAGCTAAGAGCCAACTTCCTTCCCTCCAGAAGCCCCTTGCCACAAAGGCTGCTCCACCTGAGCCAGCCACAGGGCTGGGTGGGGACAAGCCTGGGTCCCTAAGTAACACCAAGGGGGAGGAGCCAAAAGCCCACACCTATCCCTCTTAGGAACCAACCCAGGGTGCCTGGGGTTAGGAACAGTTAACAGCCCCCAGGCTGTGGACTATTTACTGCAGAGCCCCTCTATAACTGGCTGTAACCACAAACCCACACAGACTTCCGATTGGTGTGCTGAGGTGTGAAAAGATATTAGAGAGGCTAAAAGGCCTCAAAGTTGGGCAGTCTGTGAAGCCCCACCACATTCCCCTTCCAGCCCCACTGGGAGGAAACCAGGAGAAATCCTGGATACCCCAGCCTGGGAAGACCAGGGGCAGGGCAGCCCGTGTGAGGCGCTGATGCCCTACCGCCCTCCTGCCCAGTCTTCCCTGTGACCCCTCTCCATCCTCAGCTCACTGTGTACTTGGGCAAGCGGGACTTCGTAGATCACCTGGACAAAGTGGATCCTGTAGGTAAGTGTGCCCAGGAAGGGGCATCCCATCCCCCAAGAGAAGTTCCTGGACCCAAGAACAGAGGAGAGACCCTCACGGGAAATGAGCTCATATGTCCCTTTCCTCAGATGGCGTAGTGCTTGTGGACCCTGACTACTTGAAGGACCGCAAAGGTACTGGCCCCCGACTCCAGTGGCCCAAGGGGAGATGGGGAAGCAAAATGGGCTGGCGCTGAGACCAGCAATATGGAGGGCTGAGGCAGAAGCCAGTTATAGGATTCAGACCAGTCTCGTGCTGCCGAGGAGAAGCAGCTGCTGCTCGGCACTGGGTGGACTCAAGAAGGGGAGCTCCTCACCTCCCTTGCCCTCCCTTGCCAGTGTTTGTGACCCTCACCTGCGCCTTCCGCTATGGCCGTGAAGACCTGGATGTGCTGGGCTTGTCCTTCCGCAAAGACCTGTTCATCGCCACCTACCAGGCCTTCCCCCCAGTGCCCAACCCGCCCCGGCCCCCCACTCGCCTTCAGGACCGGCTGCTGAGGAAGCTGGGCCAACATGCCCACCCTTTTTTTTTCACAGTGAGGATGCCCCCACCCCACCCTCTGCAGGGCAAGGGGTCTGGGACTCTGTTTGGGGGGGTGAAGCACCCATTATGAGCTAATCTGGAAGAAACAGTAAGGAGGGACCCTAGACCCACCACCTCCCCGCAGGGTCACCCTGCATTCAGGAAGCCCTTGCCTCTCTGCCTCCTTCCTGATGTTCCTTCCTTTTCCTTCCTCATCCCTAGGTCTTCTTCTCAAGCCTCTTATATTGAGATTGGGAGGAAGACTTGGGGGCTTTAAGAGGAACTGAAGTCTCCCCTTTTCTCTGCCAGATACCTCAGAATCTACCCTGCTCTGTCACCCTACAGCCAGGCCCAGAGGACACAGGGAAGGTACTGGAGAAATGGTTCTGAGGACTTTATGGGACAGAGTAGGGTCCATAAGATGGGAGTGGGCTGCCAAAAAGTCAGGGTGGGATGAAGGATAGGGTAATCTTCCCAGGGAGGGTGGGGTGTGCATGGGACGGTTGCTGCTCACATGTGACCCTGCTTCTTGCTCTTGACCTGCATTGCATATGCCTGAGTATAAGGGCTCGCCTTGACACAGCCAAAACAAAGCCTCTGCCAGGTGCCAGGCCTTAAGCAGGCAGAGGAGGAAGGGCCAGGCCCTATGCTCCTCAGACCAGGATGGGGCAAAGGTCCCACCCAAGACTGAGGAAAGAGGGAAGGAAGGGAGTGGCGACAGCAGCAAGGGCCTTGTGTAAGACCCAGCCTTTTCTCCCCTTCCTGAGGCCTGCGGGGTAGACTTTGAGATTCGAGCCTTCTGTGCCAAATCAGTAGAAGAGAAAAGCCACAAAAGGTGAGGGAAGTCACCTCCCCTGTGGTTTGCCCATTCTGTCCCAGCTCCCAGGAGTCCTAGTCCCTGTGGGAGGTGGAAGTGGGTGCTTGGGTGTCTGAGGTCTGACCCCTCTCACTCCCAGGAATTCTGTGCGTCTGGTGATCCGAAAGGTGCAGTTTGCCCCAGAGAAACCCGGCCCCCAGCCTTCAGCTGAAACTACACGTCACTTCCTCATGTCTGACCGGTCCCTGCACCTTGAGGCTTCCCTGGACAAAGAGGTGTGGTGTGAGAGGGTGGTGCAAGTGCTCCAGTGCAGGTCTAACCCTGGGGGCAGGGTGAAGCCATGTGTCAAGAATGCATCTTTAGGGGAGGCTGTCTTAGCTACTGTGGAAGTTGCTGTGGGCTTAGGGTTAGAGGGAAGAAACCAAGCAGTATGTTTGTGTCGGGGACACACTGGTAAGGACTGGGACCAGTGAAAATAGAACCAATTAACCTGACCCTCCTCTCCTCAAAAGCTGTACTACCACGGGGAGCCCATCAGTGTCAATGTGCACGTTACCAACAACTCCACCAAGACTGTCAAGAAGATCAAAGTCTCTGGTAGGAGGAGGAATTGGAAGGGGATCTTAGTGGGGAGGGAGTTGCTGCACACCAGGCTTCTGGAATGATCTCAACCCAAGGACATACCCAGTGTGGGAGACCCACCAGGGCTCAAAGAATTCACATAGGCTGTCCCAGAATGAGATGGGCACTAGGCGTTTACTGCCACAGGGAGGGCCAAAAGGTGGAAGTGGTGTGGGCCCGGAGCCTGGGCTCGGGCCACGCAGTCTGGAGTGGGGCAGTAGTCTTCACTCTGTGCAGAGCCACTTGACCCGCCCCTACCACACCCCACAGTGAGACAGTACGCCGACATCTGCCTCTTCAGCACCGCCCAGTACAAGTGTCCCGTGGCTCAGATCGAACAAGAGTGAGTATTACAACAGCCCTGAGTCCCAACATCAAGGGAGAAGAGTAGGCCTGGAAGGATGTGAGGTAGGGGTGGAATTCTTCTTGAACCATCTCCACCTTCAAAGGTATTCCCATCTGATGGCTCTGAGCTGTTCATTTATTTGGGCAGGTTAAGCCAGAACCTACTCCCCTGTAACGTGCCCAAACAGAAAAGGGACTAGTGATGGGGGCATGATCTGCCCTCCACCCAGCCTGGCCCCTCTGATAGTCTTGTCCTCTTGTCCCCGCCCCATCCAGTGACCAAGTATCCCCCAGTTCCACATTCTGCAAGGTGTACACCATAACCCCACTGCTCAGTGACAACCGGGAGAAGCGTGGTCTTGCCCTGGATGGGAAGCTCAAGCATGAGGACACCAACCTGGCTTCCAGCACCATGTGAGGGGGGGGGACTGAATGTGGGCGGGGAGCTCTCCCGCAGCCTGGGAGATGCTCACTCCACACCAGCTGTGTGCCAGGCTCTGTCCTAGGTGCCAGGGTGCTGTCAGTGAACAGAAGAGACAAAAAGCCTCTTATTTTCTGGGGAGGGAGGCTAGACAAATCATATAGATAGTATGTTTAGTGACCAGTGTTAAGGAGAAAAAGCAAGGGAGAGAAGGGAGAAAACAGAGGGGCAGGGTATGTTAATTTTCAATAAGGTGTCCAGGGAAGACATAATCCGGAGGTGAATTTCGAGTAAGGACCCAAAGAAAGTAGGCAGTACGGACAGACAGGAACAGCACTCCAGGCAGAGAGAGCTGCAAACACAAAGGCCCAGAGAGGTGATCCAGGCCAGTGTGAACTTAAGGAAGTTCGAGGAAGCCAGCAGAGCCACTGCTAGCTCCTGCTGTGTCATTGTGCCTTTGGGCAGCAGCAGCCCTGGAGTAAGAGCATCACAAATTAAGGGCTGAACTTCACCCCCCACTGTTGCCTTTGTTCAGGGTACACACCGCATGACCACACAGAGCAGGCCTACAGGCCCGTATGGTGAGAATGAACTACCAGGACAAGAGTAGCAGGTGGAGTTGGAGGGCTGGTGGTGAGCAAGACAGTGCAGGGCTGTAAGGCTACAAGGACTTCAGCTTTTATCGTGAGAGATGAGAAACCACGGGAGGGTCCTGCACAGAGGTTTGGCGTAGGGTGCTCCCACGGTACAGCCTGTGCTGCCAGAGCCCCAGGAGCTGTGGGGATCCTGCCCAGGGTCCTGATGGGAGCCCTAAGTCTGGGCTAAGGTTCAGGATGATGACCATCATCCAGCTTCTCCCCCCAAATGCAGCGTGAAAGAGGGTGCCAACAAGGAAGTGCTGGGGATCCTGGTGTCATACAGGGTCAAGGTGAAGCTGGTGGTGTCTCGAGGCGGGTGAGTGTGTTGGGCAGCCTGGGGTGGGGCTTGCAGTGGTTCCCTCCAGCTCTGCATTGTCATCTCATCGGGCTGCCTCTCTCCCACCTCAGGGATGTCTCGGTGGAACTGCCTTTTGTTCTTATGCACCCCAAGCCCCATGACCACCACATCACTGTCCCCAGACCCCAATCAGGTAAGCACACCATCCACCCAAGCCCCCAAAGGCAGGGCCATTGGAAAAAAGCTGGTCCTTCCAGCACCCACCACCCACTTTCCTCCTTCCCTCAGCTGCTCCTGAAATGGATGCCCCTGTGGACACCAACCTCATTGAATTTGATACCAAGTAAGAGCCTCATCCCCTCCCTTCCTACCTTTGACTCTTGGACAAAGATTCCTGTTAACGTTCAAATCTACCTCCCACCATTTTTTTCTTTTGGGGGAGGGATGGTTGAAGCATCAAATCAAGATGACAGCCTTGTGAGATGCCTCTTATTGCACCTGCTTTGTCCCTTCCTCCAAATACCTCTAGTCCCACTGCCACTCTAACACCTCGGTCTCTGGAGGGGAGTGGGAAGTTGAGATGAGGGTCAGAAGCCCTCGCCTCACCCCCTCCTTTCCACCACCAAGCTATGCCACAGATGACGACATCGTATTTGAGGACTTTGCCCGGCTTCGGCTGAAGGGGATGAAGGATGAGGACTATGACGACCAGTTCTGCTAGGAAGGGGGGCTGGAAGAAGGGAGTGGATGGTGCTGGGAGAGGTAGGGGCAGGACCAAGATTCCCACGGTCACTAGGGAGTGGGTCCCTGCCTCTTTTCCTTTCCTCTCTACCCAGCAGCTTCCTCAACCAATCCCTTCCCTCCTTTCCTCTCCCATCCCCACCAGATACGCACTGGACCTATCTCTTGTTGAACATGGGCATTAATTTTTTGACTACAGCTGTGCTTCCCCAACCTTCCAATGGGGGGCAAGCTGTGTTCATACCTAAACTTTTTGGAGGGGGACACTGAAAAGAGGAGTGATAGTAGGAAAAGAGGGAAGAAAGAACTGCCACGTTCAACCTCACACCAACACTCCCTCTTGTCACTGTCTGCCTCCCATTCCTTCAAGCTGAGACCCTTTACAGGGACAAGGCCACTTCTTTGTTTCTGAGCATAAAGAATAAACCTTTTAGTAGGCATGTGTGTGTTTCCTATGCAGTGTATGAGGAATGTGCTCATCCATGAGTCTGCTAGCCTGTAGGTGAGGACCTAATCTTTCCTCTCTACCCACATGGCACAATAAATGTTTATTGAATGACGGAGCTGTACCTGTGTTCCAAGGTAAACATCAAAACTTAATTTGGGCAGTCCAGTGTTTAAGGGTACAGTTTGGAAAAGCCACAAAGTATAGACTGTTCCTTGTTGCGGCCCACACACATGACCACATGGTGACCTGTTCTGACCTAGTGTATCTATTTCCACTGCCCCTGGTTGTGCAAGCAGTCCATTCCTGGGGCTCAGTGGGATGCAGCTGCAGCCTCACCAAACAGAGGTCACACAGCATCTCTGTGGAGCCTAGTACTTACATTCTAACACAGAAGCCATGGCTTTAGGCAGCCAGAGTCATGCTGCTGTGGGCAAGTCCAAGGAGCAACATCCAACTGCTGCTCTTTGGCTGTTCCTCAGAGGCTCCCGGAGGCTCCTAGGCCAAGCTGGAGGGAGTTGGTAACGCTCCACCGGCATTCCTCACCTCCACACCCATTCCCACTCCTATGCTCCGGACTTTTACTATTTAAGGCTCATTCATTCATTCCATGAACAATCTTGATTTTAAGTCCCTTTTAGGTGCCAGGCATAGTATAGGGAATAGCAGTGACCAAAACAAATATTAAATCATTCCTTAATTAACTACAATATCTGTGCCTGGAAGGAGAAGTACAGAAGCTATGAGAACATGTGACATGGAGTTCTGACCTAGGCTGGGGTTTGGGGAAGACTGCCCTGAAGGAAGTGACCTTTGAGCAGAGAAACAAACTTTGAGGAATTCCAGCATTCCAGACAACAGCAACACCATGTGTGAAGGCAGAAAGCAACAGCTTATTTCAGGGACTGAAAGAGGCCAGAGGTACTTCAACAAAGATAGCTACAGGCAAAGTAGCACCAGATGAGGCTGGTAAAGCAGATGGGGCAGCCCACAGAAGCCTATTACAGTTCACGTCTAAGCAAATCATTATTTACCCACAGGCTTTAAGTGCCGCCAAAATACCAATGAGCTTGCTTACCCTTCCACAGTAGCAGCCTACCCTGCACACTTTGGTCTTTTTCACACACAGGAACAGCCAGCATCCCTCTGACTCCCACAAACTTGCTCCTTGATCTCTGGGCTCTCAGCTGATGGATCTCAAACTTTTAGGGGTGAATCAGAATCCTCTGAGATGCAAGATAAAGACCCAGAGTCTCAGGCTCTGCCTTCCCAGGTTCCAATTCAGTAGTCCCAGAACGAATGTATGAAATTTGGATTCTAAATTAGCACACACTTTGAAAAACAGTGCCTTTTTTCTTCTAGGTTTTTATGTTTTTAAGGTAGTAAAAAATGTTCATAGTTTTTAAAAAAATGCAAACAGTAAACAGTGAAAAGAAGGCTCCCTCCTACAGCTGATTCGCAGCTTCCCATTTCTCATTTCCAGAGGCAACCACTAGCACCAGTTTGATATTATTCCAAAGGCATTCTGCAAACTCAGTTGTACTCATACATTCCCCCCTTATTTTAAACACAGATAGTAGCATACTATGAACACTCTCCTACCCTTGATTTTTTCTTTTAATGATGTTAGAGCATTCCTTTAACAACACATACAGATTTACCTCAATCTATTAAAAAGCTGCATAGCTTTCCATTGCCTAGATGTTATTTTTACCAATTTATTATCAGTGAAATGACGGATGTCCACTCTTTTGCTAATCCAAACAGTAGTAAAGTTATCTTTATGTCCTTTTGCCCACGTAAAGTACATCTGTAGGGTAAGTTCTTAAAAGTAGAGTTGTGGGGTAAAGACGGCATATTTTTGATCACTGCCAATAAGCAGGTGACATGTGGCATCATCCTTACTTCATTTTGCACTTTTTTGTTTAGGAGTAAAGATTAACTTTTTGTTTAGGGGTGAGGATAAACCAGATTTACTGGGCTGATGTTGTGAACCAGTGGTTGTTGGTGCCAATTCAATGCCAACAGGAATCCCCAACTTGGGGTGCAGTGAAGGAAGTCATTCAGTGCAAAACAGCCCAATTGTTTTACAGCACAGCTGTAGAACACCACCACTGTGAGGAGGCCATGGGGCCAGGGCTAGACTTCTCTGCTCTGCTCTGAGGAGATGCCCTTGATGTTTCAGCTCCAGCCAGGGAAATGGAAAGGGACAGTGAACTGTCAGAGCAGCCAGAAATAAGCTGACATATAGACAGAAGTTCCCACCCTGGTCCCTGACTGATCAGTCCTCTTGCAAATAAGGACTCCAAATTGTCACAGTTTGATTGGTCCAGATACTGTCCTGATCAGACTGGAGACTCTGATTGTTTGGTGAAGAAGCTGATGGAGGACATAGCTGCTCAGCTCCAAAAGGATGGGGAAAGCCTTAGTCCTATGGTTGAAACGGGATTCCCAGAACTCCTTCATAAGGGCTGGTTCAGATGGCAGAAACACAGGTGGTTCAGTGCAGAGGCAGGTAGTTCAGTGCAGGCTTCTCCCTGAAGTGCAGTTTGCATGAGAAGCCCCCGTGTGGAAATGGCTGCTAGGCTTTGGGGGTGGGGGGTGGGGGTGTTTTTGTTTTAATTTGAGCCCAGTTAGCCACCAGAAGCCCTTCTTAGTAGGTATCTTCTTTCTCAGGATACACAATGTTATCTTCTTAGTGTACTCTAAAAGCTCTTTATGTAGTAAAGAAATTAGCCCTTTGTCATAATTTTTGCAAATATTTTCCCCACTTTGTTGTCTTTTTAATTTGTTTTGGTTTTTGTTTGTTTAACTGAGTTCAAATTTATATAACATAAAGTTAACCACTTTAAAGTGTACAATTCATTGGCATTTAGTATATTCACAATGTTGTGCAACCATCACTTATAGTTTCAAAGTATCGATTTCTGGTGTTTTTAATAATTCATGTTTTTTAAATTTTTTTTCATGTTTTTTAAATTTTAACGTAGCCTATTCTAATTATGTTTTTTCATGGCTTATTTATTTATAACAAAGTTCCTGTTTCCTCACAATTTGACACTTCCTTTTTTTCCACATTAAGTTCAAGATCATCATATCACTATCTCATCAGCACCCTCAACTCTCTCCTTTCACAGTACCTGCTTTCAAACCCCACCCTTGGCCCTTGTCAACTACCACCCTGCTCTTCTCCACTCCAACACTGGGCTGTGAGCACTGCCAGAAAAAAAAATCACACATTATTTATTCATTCATTAAGCAAATATTTGTGAACACATCCTAGGTGCCAACACTGTGCTAAGTACGATTTCGGGACCACCACGAACTCATGGTCTCTGACCTCAACTGGGCCCTCAATACCTGACAACCCTCTGTCTCACTCCATGACTTTGGTCACTTCCCTCTGCTGCTCCCATCTCACTCATTAATTTTCCAAACCTTTCTCATGTTCAAAGTGACTCCTTGTTTTTCATAGATTAAGCTATGAAGAATGAGTGATTTCAACTTTCCACCTTCTACGGACAAAACACTGATATCTACACCAATTCTCCTGGACAACCAAGGTTAAGATGCCTTCTCCAGTTCAAAGTTAATTCTTCCAGCTGTGCTCAGGTCACTCCTCTCCCACTCCCCTCTCTTCAGCCTCTGCCTCTATCGGTTCTTCCTCCATGGTAAATAAATCCACTACAGGAAGGGAGGGGGGGATGCGGGAAGGTGGGAGAAATGAAGGAACCAAAGAAAAAAACATTTCTCCATGCTTAATTCTTTCACAGTAAAATGAATCTCTATTTCTCCTCACTTTTTAAAAAAGATTTTGTTTATTTTTAGAGAGGGGAAGAGAAACATCAATGTATGTTTGCTTCTCCCGCGCCCTCTACTGGAGATCTAGCCCGCAACCCAGGCATGTGCCCTGACTAGGAATGAACCTGCGACCATTGGGTCTGCAGGCCAGTGCTCACAATCCACTGAACCACACCAGCCTGGGCACAAACTTTTTCCTGATGTGTCTTCCCACACCAGTCTCAACAGTCTCACCAGTCACACCTAACCACCACCACACTCCATTCACTCCAAAACTGAACCCCTTGCTGTACTTCAAATGTGCTAGACCCCTTCAAGCACCATGCGCTTGCCTGTGCCAGTTCCCTTTTCCTCTTCAACCAGGTATAGACACCTGGCTACCCTGAAGAATCAGTTCAAGCTGCACCTCCTCACAGAATCCTTTCTCTGTGCTCCTGGTAATACACCTGGGGCATATCTCTAACAAAACACCTATCCCACTATTACGGGAGAGTCCAATCTCATTCATCAGTGGCCACCACATAATAGAAAACCAGAAAGGGAAAGGGGGAAAAGACTGAAATATGCCTCACTCTGAGAATATTCTGATGGCATTTCAGCTGGGCTTCAGCAGAGGAGCGAGCGCTAGGGCGAATAACGTAACACTCACCAAATCAAGCTTTCCCCAGACCCCAACAGACGGCGGAGCCGGGCGAGCACACAGAGGTTCCAGGCCTGTGTAGTCTGGAGGAATACCCCAGAACTCCCCTCCTATTATCATCACCTAACATCAGCAGACGCTTAATAAATTCTTGTAGAAAAAATTAACTATAGACCACAAGTCAGTGTCGTGAAAGTGTACGAGTCAGAAAGGCCTCTGGTTAGAGAACATTCCCATACTTTCTCTCACACAGGTACTCTCGAGGCAGTGACGCACCTTGGGCATGCGCAAAACTCCCCGAGAGTTACAGCTCAGCAGGTGTATCCAGAAAAGCGAGGCTGCGCTGATCACCCTGGGAATTGTAGTGTCGGCTAGAGAGTGCCCTCTGCGCAGGCGCAAACGACTGTCTCTTCCGGGTTCCAAGGTCGGAAGAAAGAAAGAAAATCCCTCCGTTTTCCAGAGTGACAATGGCAACCTACAGTCTGGCAAACGAGCGACTACGCGCCCTGGAAGACATCGAACGGGAAATCGGCGCGATTCTTCAGAATGCAGGTTGGGGATACGACGCCAGAAGGCAGATAGTGACGGAAAGCCGAGCACGTGCGCCAACCAGAGAATTGGAGTGAGGCTAGCGAGGGATCCTACTGGTTTGCGCTGAGCGTGCGGGAGTTGGAGGGGCTGGCCCGTGGGCGGGGCTCTACTGGCGCTTTCTGAGTAACCCAGCCCTCTCTCTCTCGGCAGGTACCGTCATCTTGGAACTTTCGAAGGAAAAAACCAATGAACGGCTGCTAGACCGGCAAGCAGCGGCTTTCACGGCGTCTGTGCAACATGTAGAGGCGGAGCTGTCGGCTCAGATCCGTTACCTAACCCAGGTGGGTTGGGTGGTAGGTGATGCAGTGCTCCCACCCAGCTATCTGCCTTAGCCTTAGCTTTCAGAGGGCCCAGGTAGAGCCTTGGCCTTGGGAGCCAGGCAGAAGCGGGCTGCCCAAGCTGGCACCAGGCTGGATGACCCTGTCAGGACCCCTCTTTTCCAGAGCCGGTTTCTTCCTCTAAAAGGAAAGAAAGGCAGGGCTTAGTTCACTGGGCTTCGTCTAAGGAGCCTCTAGATGAGGAAAGCTTTGGAGAGGGCTTGTAAACAATCCCAAAGCCACAGGACTTTCCCCCTAGAAACTTGACCTAACTTCAGGGGCATGAAACCCCAAATGGGAAAAGGACAGGATTGAGAGGGTTCTGAAGTCATTACAGTAGCAACCACCATTCACCAAAATTTCACAATGTGCCACTCTTCCTTATCTTACTTAATTGTACAGCTGTAGGAATTAGTTACTGTCACCCCCATTTTCCAGATGAGGTTAACAGAAGTTAAGTGGTTTACCCTAGGTCATCCAGATACCATGTGGTATAATGGATTCAAACTCAGGGAAGGCCTGAGACGAGATCTGATGCCCTGTTGGGGAGATGGACAAGGGAGAGGGTGCTTCATTGACCAGTTGAAATGTCCTGTAGGTGGCCACAGGGCAGCCTCATGAGGGCTCCAGCTATTCTTCAAGGAAGGACTGTCAGATGGCCCTGAAGCGAGTGGACTATGCTCGCCTCAAGCTCAGTGATGTGGCCCGAACCTGTGAGCAGATGCTGGAAAACTAAGCCAAGTAGGTGGAGAGACAACTTGGAATGAGACCACCACCTGCACCCCAGGACAGAACCTGGAAACCTGCAGGATGGGAAGCACAGGCTGCCATGCGTGCCCTGTTGGTCAGCATATATGAGGACAGTGAGCTAAAAGGTGGGAACGGAGAAATTTGAAGATCAAGCCTGCCCACATATCTGCCCTGGTTCCTCCAGCAGGTTGCTGCTGTTGTACATGCACTTCACAGAAGTGCTAAAAAACTCAGACAGGAGATGAGATTCAGGCACCCAACCCACTTCCTCATATATTTCATGTCCTTGTCCCAGGCATCCACAGACTTGTACATTCTTCTTCATTGGGAGAGATAAAACAAGAACTAAGAGTTTTAATAATAAAAACAGTAATGACAAAAACAATGAGCTGAGACTATCACTGGGGCATATGTGGGTGATTCAAAGGATTGAGGAAGTAAAACTAGCCTGTATGGCGGCTGCTGAGGGACAGTGGGAAAGCCCAGGCCTTAAGTGTGGGGTCAGAAGAGGGCCAAAGTTGGGGTAGTATGAAGGGAAACTTTAGGGGATGGGAACAGGTCCATCAGCAAAGAAGCTGAAGCCAGGAATCATGGTAAAGGGGCATGAAGCCGATGTATACAGAAAAGAGTCAATAATTATACAAATAATTTTTAGTAAAAAGAATACACATACAGAGTTTGTCCAGAATTTTACCATATTAAAGGTGGAATTAGCCCTGCCTGGTGTAGCTCAGTGGATTGAGTGTGGGCCTGTGAACCAAGTGTCACTGGTTGGATTCCCAGTCAGGGCACATGCCTGGGTTGCAGGCCAGTAGCCCAGTTAGGGATGTGTAAGAGGCACACACTGATGTTTTTCTCCTTTCTCCTTCCCTTCCCCTCTCTCTATATAAATAAAGTCTTTTTTTTTAAGTGGAATTACACTTATGGGGCGGGGGGAGAAGCAGAAGAAATTCTGAGAGAGAGCAGTGGCTGGTTATTTATATATGTACAGAGTGCTTACCATGTACCAGAGAGATTGTTTAAATATAGTCAATATATATGATACCAAATCACAATTTTTATCCTCACAGGCTTCTATTCTTAGCCCAAGTGTTGGGAGTCTGGTGCCACAGATGTATATTGAAGCTGCAGACCTGGAAAAGATAAATTGAGAGATGAGCTCTGAGATCAAGAGAAGTTGGGGTGGTGGTGGTGATAACTTGGAGAATCAGACTCCAAAACATTTAACCATACAACCTGGTACACAGTAGGTGCTCAAAAAAGATTTGTGGCCCTGGCTGGTGTGGCTCAGTGGGTTAGCGCCATCCTGTGAACCAAAGGGTTGCTTGTTCTATTCCTAGTCAGGGCACACGCCTGGATTGCTGGCCAGGTCCCCAGTATGGGGTGCACGAGAGTCAACCACACATTGATATTTCTCTCCTTCTCTTTCTTCTTCCCTTCCCCTCTAAAAATAAATAAAATCTTAAAAATTAAAAAAAAAAAGATTTGTGAATTAAATGGATGGTTTTCACTTTCCACAGCTTCATCTCCCACTAGTCTGCTCTAGTTGACATCTTGATGTTTCTCCAAGCATTGCCTGGCTTTCAAAGGCACTGGTCCACGGTCCCATGGTGGTGTCCCTTATTCTGTAGTCTGGCTAACTCTTTTCTTGTGACCTATGGTCCATCATGCAAGTAATTTGCATATTTGCCTACCTGGGGTGGGTTTCCAACTACCTAGAAGCTACTGGGATCAGGATGCCTGCCAGGGAGATTGGCCCCTAATGGAGGGGTTCGGAGTTCCAGTGTACCTGGAGAGCACTGCAGCGACTTCTTACTCTTCCGCTTACACAGCACATAGAGGAAGGCTGCAATGAGGATGAAGGTGATGGCCAAGAGAGACAGCACTGGCACCATGGCAGGTGTCCCAGCTGTGGGACCCACATTTTCTTCCAACTGCTTCTTATTCACCCCAGCCTCAGGCCCAGCCTCCAGACTGTGGCCCACAAAGGACGTAGTGGTTTCACTGGCATGAATGAGCTTTTTGTCCAAAAACAGTACGCTTTCTGGACGGGTGGGCTGCTGGGTAGACTGCAACATGGGTGGCAGGTACGTCTGGGCAGGGATTTCTGTGACTGTAGGTGCCCTTTCTGTGGACTCAGGAACCCGGCTGCTGAGAGGAGGTAAATGCTCCTGGCGGGCCACTCCCCCAGAGTAAGCATGTCCACATTCTGGAGAGGCGAGAAGTGAGAAATCAGGGATGTGAGGGAACATGGTGAAGAAGTAGAGGGAGGATCATGGGTCAAGGAGAATATCAAGGGAATAGCTGAAGATCAGGAGGGCAAGGCAGGGGTTGAGGTGAAAGGTCGGGAAGAAACTGCGCCAACCACAACATGAAACCACTGGGACAAGCATGTATTCTGACCCAGGAAATCAGGGTTCCAATCCAGGTTGGAACCCTGGCTCTGCTACAAAGTAGTGTTCTGACCTTGCCCCTTGTCTCTTAACCTCTAAGGGACTCATTTGTTTCAGCTGTGAAGTAGGGATAATTTTAGTACCAGGGTAGCTAGGAGGACTAAATGAAGTAAAGAAAGGCCTGTGGAGCCCAGAGGGTGGTAAGCTTACCACTGAGGCTACACAAGACAAATTTAGGTGGGACATGAAAACCATTTTGTATTTTAATGGTCGTGTGTTTATTTTAGAAGAAAAATACAACCAGCACATTAAATTTGTGACTTCACAGATATTATTGCTTAGGACAAGTTGCTATTTAAGTTTTTCAAAAGTGGCTTGTGCACACTTAGGATTTATTCATTTCATTGTGTGTAAATTTTACCTCAAAAGAAAAAAGTAGGGACTTCCACCAAGATGGAGGGATAGGTGGATGTGCTGTGCCTTCTCTCACAACCAAGTTTAGAGACAACTAAATATTAGCAACAGAAAACACAGCCAGAACACGGAAAATTGAACTTTTTGGAAGTCCGTTAACAACAAATTCTTCAGCCTGACCGGTAAGGGGCGAAACCAGCGGCTAGTGAAGCGGGGTTGCACAGGAAAACTCAGTCAGACTGATTCAGGCGCACTGAATCCAGGTGCAGGGTCAGACCTAGTGAGCGACCGAGCGAGCAACCAGGCGAGCGACCGCGGGGGAGACAGCTGGGCCCGGGGCTGCGTGTTGACTGTGGTCACACATTTGTGCGCGGGTGGACAGGCGAGGGAGTGGGCGGTTGGACCAGGCGACAGGTCCCCATGGCAAGCGGCAGTGGAGGGCGCCGCCATTTCCCTGCTCTGACCCCACCTCCACATACAGCGTCATCACCCAGCGACTCTGAGTGGCCCGGCCCAGGTGAACGACCTTAGGCACTGCTCCTCACCCAGCTGTAAGAAACAGCAGAGGGGGTCGCCATTTCTCCCCTTGGACCACGCCCCCACATACAGTGTCACAACCCAGCGACCTGGGAGTCCAAGGCACCACTTCTCACACTTAAAGGGTTCGAACAGACCAAAAATGGCGCAAGAGGATCTCAGAGCCCCAGAGCCCATAGATCTAAGCAATGAAGAAATAGCAAAACTCTCAGATGCACAGTTTAAAACACTGGTGATCAGGATCCTCACAGAACTGGTTCATTATAGCCACAAATTAGACAAATATATGAAGGCGAAACTAATTGAAATGAATGGAATTGCACAGGACACCAATAGCAATGAAAAGGAAACTGGGACTCAAATCAATGGAGTGGACCAGAAGAAAGCAAATAATGGACAAACAGAAAAGAGTCAAGAAGCAAGAATTCAAAGAAATGAGGAGAGTCTTAGGAACCTCCAGGACATCTTTAAACGTTCCAACATCCGAATTATAGGGGTACCAGAAGAGGGAAAGGAACAGCCACAAGTGGAAAACTTATTTGAACAAATAATAAAAAAGAATTTCCCCAATCTGGCAAAGGAAATAGACTTCCAGGAAATCCAGGAAGCTCAGAGAGTCCCAAAGAAGTTGGACTCAAGAAGAAACACACCAAGGCACATCATCATTACATTAGCCAAAATTAAAATGAAGGAGAGAATCCTAGAAGCAGCAAGAGCTAAGGGGACAGTCACCTACAAAGGAGTCCCCATCAGACTGTCAGCAGATTTCTCAAAAGAGACCTTCCAGGCAAGAAGGGGATGGAAAGAGGTATTCCAAGTCATGAAATCCAAAGACCTACAACCAAGATTGCTCTATCCAGCAAAACTTTCATTTAGAATGGAAGGACAGATAAGGTGCTTCTCAGATAAGATCAAATTCAAGGAGTTCATCATCACCAAGCCCTTATTATATGAAATGTGAAAGGGACTTATCTAAGAAAAAGAAGTTAAAGAAACATGAACAGTGAAAGGACAACAAAGTCACAGTTATTAACAACCACACCTAAAATGAAAGCAAACTAAAAGGACAGCTAGATCAGGAGTGGAAACATAGAAATGAAGATCTCAAGGAGGGTTAGCAATAGGGGAGTGGGAGGAAGAGAAGGGGGGGAAGGTACAGAAAATAAGTAGCATAGACAGTAGATAGAAAATAGATGGGGGGGCAAGAATAGCATGGGAAATATAGAATCTAAAGGACTTGAGACACATGGTCATAAACTAAAGGGGGGTGGAGAGGAATGAAAGGGGGAATAGAACAACTGTAACAGCATAATCAATAAAAATTTTTTTTAAAAAAGAAAAAAGTAACAAAACAATATTGAATTCTACTTAATAATATGCATGCTGAAATGTTTGGGGGTATAGTCATGCTGGCAACTTACTTGGAAATGCATTAAAAAATAAGGTGATTGGTGATAGAGAATGGATAGACAGATGAATGTACAATAAAGCAAAGTGCTGTGAACTCAATATTGTAAAATATATTTGCTTTATTATGTACATATATAAAATATGTAAAATATAAACAAAAATAATGTATTGTAGACTCTAGGTGGTGGGCATATAAATGTTTAATGTTCAATTCTTTTAAATTTTGTATACTGTATGTCTTTAAATTTCCACAAAGTAATGGGAAACAAAAGTAATGCCCTGGGCGCTGGCAGCAGAATAGCTAAGTTGGTTAGAGCATCGTCTCGATACAACAAGGCTGCAGGTTTGCTCTCTAGTCAGGACTCATACAAGAAGTAACCAAAAAATGCATAAATAAGTGAAACAACAAATTGATATTCATCTTTCTCTCTCTTCCCTTCTTCTCTCCCGCTCTAAAACTCAATACAGAAAAAAACAATGCCTTGATTTCAATATATTGAGCAAATAATAGCACAGGATGAACTGGCAAAAAACCATGAAAGTGGTGGTGAATGATGTTTGGTAAACAGGGCCCTAAGTGAAAGTATTCTGGCCAGTTTCAGAATAGCAATGTGGGGTGTCACTGGGAAAAGACCTAAGGTAAGGAAAACTGTAGGGTGGAGACACATTAACCCCTGGAGATAGAGCCTGGAGAGGAGGGGAGAGCTCTCACCTTTGCGTTCAAAGCAGCGGATCAATTCAATCACCCACGGGTCTCTGCTGCCCCCACACACAGTCAGGCGAAGCAGGCGGAACCTAATGAAGAAGAACCCGGTCTCAGCTTCAAGAGAGTGTCCCCCACTTTCCCAGTTCTTTCCTCATTGCAAACAGGTGAGGTCACACCCAACTGGGAAATTCCCCAGGAAGGTTGAAGACTGAGTGTATAAGTAAGGCAAACATAACCCAGAGAAGGGGTAGGTCGTCCCAGAAGGAGTTAAAGTTTGACCGCAGGGAGCCCTAGAGGCCCCTGGCAGGAACGGCTTTGGCAGGTGCTGCCTTCCAGGGGGTGGGTGAGATTACCTGACAAAGGAATTACACCGATTATGGTATTTCAGATGTTTCTGGAGATGTTTCATTTCTTGATCTGATAGACGGTGGTTGGAAGGAATCGTTTTATCACAGTGACAACTTCCAGCGCTGCTGCCCTCGTTGCCACTGCCTGAGTAAGACAGAAGTGGTCACGTACTGGTTCCCTGGCCAAGGTGCTCCGTAAGCTGTTACTTAACCTCCAACCCGCTGCCCCATTGCGGCCTCTCCCGTAGACTCTGGGTCTGATTCCCAGGCTCAGTCCACACATCACATCCCCACGATCATAATCCCAGCTGTACCCAGGTATCCTCCAGCCTGACCCCACCGGCTGGCAGCTGGCCCTTTCCCTGCCCCGCTGCCTTGGGGATCCTGGAACGCCTGTCTCCCTATATATTCAATTCAGTCCCAAGGCCCTAGCGCCCCACCCTCACACACACCCATTCCCCTTCCTCCGATTCCGGGATCAGGGCCCCAGACTTGCCCCTGACGAACCTGGCAGAGTCAGCGCCGCTAGCAGGAGGAGGAGACCGAAGAACTGGGGTCCCCAGGCCATCCTCATCTCGGGGACACCTGGCCCAGTCTGGCTCCCCGACAGGCGGAGAGTGACGTCGGCTGGTTTCTCTAAGGCGTTCGCTTCCTTCACCTGCTCTGCCTGCGATTCTTGGAGAGACAGAGGCCGTGCGAGCCCGACCTCGGCCTAGACACCGGCGCGAGGTGGCGCACCGTCCTCTGCCGCTCTCAGCGCTCCCAGCGTCTGGAACCAACAGCTCAGTGAGAGCCGTCGACTCCCCGCAGACTCCGGCCTCCCACGCGGGGAAACCCCCAAAGGCGGAGCTCCTTCACCCACGTCCGGGCCAGAGCCTTTCTCGAGAGGTGACCGAAATGTCCGAAGAAAGAGAAAACTTGCGCTGCGGCGTGGCTGGGCAAGCCGGCAGCGACCTGACGGGCTGATTCCGTGCGGCTTAGGGTCACCAGCCCCGTCCGTTCACTCGCCCACTCCAAGTCGTCCACCGGACGTCCATGGGGGAGTCTACACCCCGTCTCCTCCTCCAAGACTCTTTCACTTCCCTGGCGGGGTCCTGGCGCAGCTGGATCCAGTCACATGGCCGGGTGATGCGCGCAGGGGAGTCCGCGCGCTCAGCCGCACTGACACTGGCCTGAAGCTCCCGCACACACGCTGCCAACTCGCGAGGAGCGGGCGGTGGGCTCCACAGCCCTGACGTCACGCCCGCCCCCACCGCCCGAGGTATTTACCTTCGAAAAGTGGTGGCGGCTGCAGGTACTGGAGTAGTGGAACGGCCGGGAGAGGCTAGGTCTACTGGGGCTCACGGCCAAACCGATCCAAGCTGAGGGGATGCTCTGGCTCCTCCTGTTCCCTCCCCCCACACCCCACAGACAGACCCACAATTCTTCCCTCCGGACCAAACCCTTCCTGAGAGGATTAGCCCTCCCTCTCTCTATTCAACTCAAACCCTACTTTTGAGGTTTGAGCCTCAAATACCATCTCACTCCTGAGTACATCCTTTAACCCTAATGGTCCACTTTCAAGTGTAGCCCCCCATTCTCACCCCCGGATTCCCATCTTCAGCCTTGAAAACGTTATTCTCAGCTTCAGCTTCTAACACTTACTATACAGCCTTAAACCCATCCTCCCACATTTTCTGACCCAGCCCCAAATTCTCACCACCACACTCTCCCTCACCATATAATAATCACTTCTTCTGCTCAGTGAGCCCAGGCCCAGTGACCCTGAAGACATGGAGTTTGTATCTGGATACCGAGATGAGTTCCTTGATTTCACTGCCCTCCTTTTTGGCTGGTTCCGAAAGTTCGTGGCAGAGCGTGGAGCTGTGGAGGCCAGCCTTGAGGGACGCTGGCAACAGCTGGAGGCTCAGATCAGAAGGCTGCCCCAGGACCCTGCCCTTTGGGTGCTCCATGTCTTGCCCAACCGTAGTGTGGGCATCAGCTTGGGGAGAGGGGCAGAGTCAGGTCCTGGACCAGGCCTGGGGGCTGGCTGGCTGCTGGGAGATGAGCCCCCACTCCACCTTCGAGACCTAAGCCCCTATATCAGCTTTGTCAGTTTGGAGGAAGGGGAGGAAGGGGAAGAGGAGGAGGAAGAGGAAGAAAATGGAGAAGACAATGCAAGCACAGACAAGGTAGAAGCAGAGGAGGATGGGGAGCCAGCCGATGGGAGCAGGGAGTCCCCCCAGGAAGCGAATCCTCCAGGGAAGCCAGAAGACGCTGAGCAGGAGGCAGGAGGTGCTGAGGATGGCTGCCCAGAGGACAGGGCAGAAGACAGATCCGGGCTGGAGAGGAGGAAGGGACAGAAAAGTGGTAAGAACCTAGACTGGCCCTGCCCTAGCCCCTGCTCAGACATACTCCGTCTCTGAAGTCCTGTTTGCCACTCAGCACCCGGCTAGGAGTCACAGACAGAAGAGTGGCTTTAGGTCAGTCTGGTCTGAAAAGGTGTTTTCATTGTCCCACATTGTTTTTGTTTTTAAATTTGAGCCAACATTTAAACATTGAAAGTAAAAACAACCTCCTGAAGTATGGCGTTTTACCTTCTTAAGAAAAACTGAAGTTCTGACAGCAGGCCCACATTTCTGCATGGCAGCGAATGCTGGTGCTGTGTAGCAGCTGACCCTTTAGATGAGGCACACCCTCTCCACCTAGTTCCCCTTACTCACTTAGTTTACCCGCCTGGCCTCTGGGGGCATTTGGATTTGGTACCCCTGACCCTGATCATCTTTGCCACACTGCCCACCTCCGACTTTTCCCTTCTTCTCCAGAGGCTGCCCCCCTGCACCTTTCCTGCCTCTTACTGGTGACCGATGAACATGGCACCATCTTGGGCATTGACCTGCTAATGGAAGGAGCCCAGAGGAGTGCAGGCAAGGGCTCAGAGACAGAGAACCTGGCTCCTCGGGCCTATGCTCTCCTCTGCCACAGCATGGCCTGCCCCATGGGCTCTGGAGACCCACGAAAGCCCCGACAGCTTACTGTGGGAGATGCCCAGCTACATCGGTACAGAAATCTGGTATCTGAGGGTGGGAAGGCCTAGAGGACCTGAACTTTGGAACCCCACAGCCTAATGCCCTGCCCACCCCCACCCCCCACTTCAGAAAGCTGGAGAGTCTGGTCCCAAGGCTGGGAGTGAAGTTGGCCAAGACCCCAATGCGGACATGGGGTCCCCAGCCAGGCTTCACCTTTGCCTCCCTTCGGGCTCGAACCTGCCATGTTTGTCACAAGCACAGCTTTGAAGTGAAGCTGACACCCTGGTGAGCAGCCCACAAAGATGGAGTAAGAGAAAGGAAGACCCAACAGTCAGGCAAACAGAGAGAAAGCAGGCCGGTGGGGGACTCTGCAGACAGAGTGAAGGGCAGGGAAATAAGACGAAAACAACAAGCTGTTACTGGCAGACAGGATACAAACAGAGCGAGTGACATGTGGGCAGCAGCAGGGCGGACAATGGGCAGGCAGAGGACTCACGGACACCAACACTCCCTGTGACCCCCAGCCCCCAGTGTAGTGCTGTGTTGTACTGCGGAGAAGCCTGTCTCCGGGCTGACTGGCGGCGATGCCCAGATGATGTGAGTCACAGATTTTGGTGCCCAAGGCTTGCAGCCTTCATGGAGCGGACAGCGGAACTAGCAACTCTGCCTTTCACCTACACTGCAGGTACCATAAGGAAGTCAGGATGAGGAAGTGGAACTGGGACCCCATCTTTGTGTCTGGTGTCTGGGTATCAGGGAACAGGGTCCTGGAGGTTAAGTGCCTAAGGCTGCAGTCTGGATCCCTGGAACAAGGGCTGGGTACTGCGTATTCGGGGCTGGAAACTAGGTTCCAGCTGGAGACAAGGTTTCTGGAGCTAAGAACTCAGCACCCAGGTCCCTGAGAGAGCTTAGGGGATTTGGAACTGTCAATTCAAACACTTGCTTCCCAGCTCCACCACTAACAGGTGACCTTAAGCAAATCACTGTATTTCTTAGTGCCTTAGTTTCCTCATTTGTAAAATAGGAATACTAACAAATGTTCCCAAGGAATTGTTATAAGAATTCTGTAGGCTGGATGCCTGCTACACTGTAGACACTAGGAAATGTTCACTGTCTCCCCACCTAGCACCCTACTCACACCCAGGGTGAGGAGAGTTAAAGCCTGGGACCCTAGCCGCCAAGCCCTCAGCCCTTCTCTTCCTTCTCCAGAGGTGACCAGTGAAACCTTCAACAAGGAGGCCTTCCTGGCCTCACGGGGTCTCACTCGTGGCTACTGGACCCACATCAGCATGCTGATTCCAGGCCCTGGGACCCCCAGGCACCCCCGGGGCAGCACTCCATCCCTCGGCCTTCTTCTCAATGGTGCGTGGGACTTCTCTTCGGGCATGGGCCCCTCAGACTAGGGGAAAGGAGAGGAGAGAATAAAGTTGTCTGAGTCCCAGAAAACCCCACCATATGCACACTGAACCTTACCACTACTACCAGGACCATTTCAGTCCTTTTCCTAACCTTCTAAATCACTGCTGCCCTCCCAATCCAGAAACTCCATCCTTAGGCAACCCCCTCCCCCCATTCCTCTTGCTGAAGTTCCAGGTCCTCTCAAGTAATACAGCTCCTTTGGAAGGAAGAAGGAAATGTGCCAGCTGGGGGGGTGGTCTCCCTGACACCAGGCTCCTCTTCTTTTTTTCCTCCTCTCAGGAGATCCCTACCAGCTTCTCCAGGGGGATGGGCCTGCTCTGATGCCTTCTGTGCCTCCAGATCCACCCAGGGGCCTCTTGGGTGAGCTGGAGGGGCCCTGTAGGAACTAGGGGTAGGAGCAGGGACTGGAGAGCCAGCTGTCTGGGTGGCCGAGATAAAGGGGACTATTAGACTGGAGGTGTTGGGATCCAGACCTGGGGCCAGGTCCCCCAGTAATGTACTCTCCCCAGGCTCGTGGCAGGATTACTACGCATGGCGGGGCCTCAGCTTGGACTCCCCTATGGCTGTTCTTCTCACTTACCCACTGACTGTGTACTACGTCATCACCCACCTGGTGCCCCAGTCCTGTAAGGAGAGCGAACACAGGGGGAGGAATGCAGGAAGAGGGGCAACAGGGAGCTGGTAGGGGACAGGAGGGAAGAGGAGAAAGACCATATCCTTAAATGGCTAGCTTCTCACACAGTCCCTGAGCTCAACATCCAGAACAAACAGTCGCTGAAAATCCATGTGGTGGAAGCCGGGAAGGAGTTTGACCTTGTCATGGTGTTTTGGGTAAGTCCCTCCAGGCCCAGAAGTTGGGCATTGGGGTGTAAAAGTAGATGCAGGATGGGACCTAGATCCGTCCTCTCTCTCCTTTAGGAGCTCTTGGTCTTGCTTCCCCATGTGGCCTTGGAACTACAGTTTGTGGGTGACGGCCTGCCCCCAGAGAGTGACCAGCAGCATTTTACCCTGCAGAGGGTGAGGGCTGAGGGGGACCCTGCTCTTCAGCCCTGATCCTCCTACGGTTCTTCTTATTGGATCTTGCCCTTCTGCACCCTCCTCCCCACTCCTCTGTCTTGCCTGGTGCATCCTCCAGTACCCTAACTTCCAGTGGTTTCTTCACCCCACTCTTGGCTCCCCAGGATGGCCCCGAAGTATCTGTTCGTTCTGGTTCTGGGGTATCAGCAAGGCTCAGCTCTGGAACGAAGGAGAAGGGGGGCCGAAGGGACCTGCAGATCAAAGTGTCTGCACGTCCCTACCACCTGCTCCAGGGGCCCAAGCCTGACTTGGTTATTGGTAAGAACCTGGGGTAGGAGTGGAAGAAGGTGGGAGAAGAAAACCATGGGAGCCAGCTTCTCCCCTCTCTCCTCTCGTTCACAGGATTTAACTCTGGCTTTGGTCTCAAGGACACTTGGCTGAGCTCACTGCCCCGGTTACAGGTGGGTGAGGGGCAAGAGGGAACTTCTCTCACCTGCTGCCCAGTCCCTCCTCCTTTCCTGAAAGTCTCTGCTTCTCCATCATCTCTGTTCCACAGCCCTGGGGGACGACCCATGGGTCCTCTTGCCCCTCCCTGCGTCTGCC